GACCCTTCAATCTGTAGGCTGATGTTCTATCCACTGAGCTAAACTGGCTAGGGCATGACTGCTCTTTATTTACCCTTATAATAATAAATATTTTAAAATATGGAAAAAAATTTTAATTAAAAAACATTAAAAATTTTAAATTATAAAATGAATTCATGTTCATTATGGAAAACTGAAAAATGCCTAAAGAACAAAAGAAAAAAAAATCCTCAGGCTCATTACCTAAAGGATCTGTTTATTAACATTTTGTGTATATTTTCTAAATATATTTATATATATTTTAAAAGCCAGTCTCCAATTGTATAGGTGTTTTGAAATAAAATTTAGCAATTTGTATTTTGAAATTCATATTTTATAACATAGCTACTTTTTAATTGAACACTTAATTGAAAAACTTGAACACTGCAATAATAAATTTCTTAGACTTTTAGAAACTGGATCAAAGAATATACATATTTTAAGTTATTTTGCTATGTGTTGCTGATTACTTTTGAAAAGGAGTGTATCAGTTGTGCTATTGGTATTTTGTAAGGTTCATTCTTACAATCTTAGCAAATCATTTTTACATAGCGTTAGTGAGGGGCTGTGAGAGCCCTCCAGTGGCCAAGCTAATTTCTGCAAAAATATTGTCAGTGAAATTAAAAAGGAATTGTATCTAGTTGCTAAATCTTAATGGCAAAAAGAGGGGAGTGACTAGAAATACCTTATTCTGTAGTTAGAGAAGAGATACCAGTTGTTTTCCTTTCAAATTCTTGTTCATCTGCTACCAGATTATAAAATGTCTTGAATTCCACTGCTGTGTAACAGGAAGAATAAGATTGTGTTGGTTTCAAACAGGTTTACAAACAATGGATTAATTATTTTTTGGTATAAAAGCTAATATTTATTGAGACTTACTATGTGTTAGGCCCTTGTCCAAATATTTTGCATATAACAATGCATTCAATTCACATGGCTATTATGAAATAATTGTTATTTTTTAATAGCAATTTATTGGCAGGAAATAGAATATTAGTTACTAAACAGAGTTACTGGATTGAAAGGTTAAATAACTTGCCCACGGTAACGCAAGTAGTAAGTAGTGGAGCCAGGATTCCAACCCAGTGCACTCACACCCTGCTCTAATTCTCCCTTGGATCTTGGTGTCCAAGAATGTTCTCATTCAGGATAACTTCATAAAGAAGAATTTTTATTTACGTAAGAAACAAGCAAATAAAAGAAAACAGTTGGTAAGATGGAGACATAGGCTGCTAGCCACTTTTTAATGGAGCAGTATAGTGTTAATAACATAATTGATGATTTTATAGTTTGTATTGAATGAATAACAAGAGGACACGATAGTTTGGATCACTTTGTAATTCATACATTTTTAGTAAAAGACAAAGTTAGACAAAATTGCTCTGTATTTTGATGTTATAGGTAGCTGAATGGAAGCAGCTGCTCTTAATTTATAATTTAATGGTATGGCTTTCTAATTAATTTTCTTATTTTTCCTTTTAGTACTTACATACTTTATTACTTTTATGTTTTTAGAAAATGTGATCTCCAGTTTAAGCTAAAAATAAGGATTTTTACTGTTCCCCGAAAAGTATAACCTCATAGGTTGAATTAGACATGATTTCTAGCGTGTTCTGAAAGTTCTGGTAGAGAAACAGATAAATAACTGGTTGTTTGAAGGCAGAAGAGAGAAAACATTCTGGAAAAGACTCAAACCTAACATTCCAGGTACAAGGTTTATATTATTTTGCTTTATCTCCAAGCTGAAGGAGGGGAAATTTGGAATAAAATGCTTTCTAAAGGAATGGTATTATAATTGCACCATGAAGGCCAATAAATGGGACCCCAAAAATGCATTTTCCCATTTAGCAGCTGAATTTGAAATTCCAGATGGAAGTAAGTTGTGAAGGTGCCGCTGCTCTTCTCTTGATGGAGATCCTACGATGGAGGCCAGCATCTCCAGGAGATCAGACTTTTCGGCTTGAGACCGGAGCACCACACATCCTTCTGTTGAAGATGGTGCCACCATACCCCGGGCAACAGGTGGGTACCTGAGACCACCAAGGACCTGTAGTCTGTCTGTCTCGTCCATCCCTGGACCAGTTCTAATCCTCACCTCCTGATTCATTCTACCCCTTGTCCTCATTTGCTGTGAATTGAATATTTGTGTCTCCTCCCAAATTCCTATTTGAAACCCAATCTTCAATGTAGTGGTGTTAGGAGGTGTAGGACTTTTGGGAGGTGATTCGGCCTTGAGGATGGAGTCCTCAAGAATGAGATTAGTGCCTTTATAAAAGGAACTCCAGAGAACTCCCTGTCCCTTCCACCACGTAAGGACACAGAAAGAAGGGTGTTTTTTTATTTTTAAATTTTTATTTTTTATTTTAAAGAAGGTTTTTGTCAATGAATCAGGAGGAGGACTCTCACCAGACACTGAATCTGCCAGTTGATGCCTTGATCTTAGGACTTTCAGCCTCCCAAACTCAGAGAAATAAGTTTCTGTTGTCTCTAAACCACCGTTTTATGGTATTCTATTATTGCAGCCAAAACCAACTGAGAGAGTAACCTGGAGAAACTTGGAGGCTCGCAAATTCAACCTCTCTTTTTGAACCCTTCCAGTCAGCTCCATTGAGCAGATGTGTATCGGGAGCTTTTATGTTTTCTAGATACTGTGCCACACTCATGTTTCAGTGATCAGGAAAACAGACAAACCCCCAAGACTCACAGGGCATTTCATTTTTTAGATCTGTGTTTGATACCTTTGCACATGCTATGAACTTGTACTACAGTATTTCTAAAAATGTGTGTGTGTGTGTGTGTGTGTGATTATCAAATATTAAATTCACCAGAGGAATTTATCCTTCAAGTGGGGAATCTTTTTCAAAGCACTTTCCTTTTCAACGAGTAAGCTGACCTAAATAATTTCATACATGTCCTCTGTTTTCATATGTTTGGTTTCCTAAAGAGATGCATCTTTTTTAATATATGAAGAAAGGAATGCACATTTTATTTGGGTCTAATAATTGCACATGTGGGATGTGGGAAGTTGCCATTGATATTGTTTCTTTTACACAGAAAATGATTTCCCAGCCATGCAATGATATAAGACAACCACTAGTAGTCACTGTGAGCCCGCTCCTTTGCCCCAAGCTTTGCTTTCAACGTGGGCTTGCCATGCTTAGGCGAACACATTTGCCTTTGCGATAAGTCACACATTAGTTTTACTGACTGTTTTTAGATAATTTTTAGGCAAATGGGAGAATATCTAATCAGGTGTTTTCCTTTGTTTAGTATACACCTGGGGTTTAGAGCATTGACTGGCTCTCTAAGCCTCCCCTTTAAATATCTTCAAATAAGAATAAGGTTAAGGAATTTATGCTCAAGCCATAGGAAAGATGCTTACATTTTTTTTTTTTTCATAATGGAAAGACTAGGGAACCTAAAGTCGGAAGACCTAGTGTCATGTCTCAGGTATATCTGACTAGTCCTGTTACATGCTGTAGAAATGTGAAGACAAGAGAGAAAATGACAGGAAAGACCTTTTTTCTGAAAATTCTGGCCACTGAGAGACTGACTTACAACTAGCAGAGTATTTGGGATGGTGGTAGACATGGAATGTCAGTTGGTTAAACTCTGCTATGTGGGAGGCCAGATTCTAATCACATGGAGGGCTTGGGAAGTAGAGGCACAGCCAAGGACTGTGGGTGACTCTAGGGAAAGTCTCTCAGCTAAGATAGCTTGAGGGACTTCCCCACTATACACAGAACCTTGCCAAAGGGACCGCATGCTTGCCACCACACGGTCTCCTGTGTGTAGCAGAGGATTCTCATGGCCTCTGTCTGCTATTGGTTCCCAGTTCTGTATGCTTCCCTGACTGCCCCACTTACTTTTCAATGGCCGTTCTCTCTCTCTACTTATGGCTAATTCATTGAAAAGGTTATGCTTTGCTGGTCTCCTTGGAGTGACCATTTACATATCTGTGCTGGGATCATTTAGACATTCATTTTATGGTTTCTCTCCCATTAATAGGTAATTATTTTTGCTTTAGCCTCTATCAAAGGCAACTCATATTTTCAATTGCTCTATATTGTTTATGAATAATACTAACTGTGGCTAGTAATTAATTAATATATTTCTATTGATTTCAGAGAGTAAGGGAGAGGGAGAGGGAAAGGGAGAGAGAAATAGAATTAGCAATGAGAGAGAATCATTGATCGACTGCCTCTTATATGTCCCTCTCTTGGGATCAAGCCTGCAACCCTATCATGTGCCCTTGACTGAAATCAAACCCAGGACTTTTTAGTCCACAGGCACTATCCATTGGACAAAGTGGGCTATTTATTAGTGTCCATCAATGTTGGGTACTGTGCTGTGCAGTTTGTGTAAATTATCTCATTTAAATCTCACAATAACACTGTAGGGGCATCTGCTATCCCCACTGTATATAGATGAAGAACCTGAGAGTTGCAAAGGTTAAGGGACAGCCCAAGTGATGAAGTCAGAATATGAACTCAGGAGGTTCCATTCCAAGATCGTAGCCACTTGATAGATAAATCTTTCTGCCATTCAGTACCTGAGTCCTGAAGTCTGGCTTTATTATTATTATTTTTATGTTTCAGAGAGAGGAAGGGAGAAGGACACACAGAGAAACATTGATGAAAGAGAGGAATATTATCAATTGGCTGCCTCCTGCATGCCCCCTACTGGGGATCGGGCTGGCAACACGGGCATGTGACCTGATGGAGAATTGACTCTGAGATCTCTTGGTTCCTGGGTTGATGCTCAACCACTGAGCCACACTGGCTGGGCTGAAGTCTGGCTTTACAAATACCTCTGTGTGTGTGTGACCTGTGGGTGATCTGGGCGTTGTTGAATTCTTACTGGTTGGATTGTTTGTTTGTTTTAATAGGCTTTATTTTTCAAAGTAATTTTACATTTACAGAAAAATTAAGATAGTATACAGAGCTGTCACATACTTGGCATCAGTTTTACCAATTACTAACATCTTACAGTGATATGGTGTATCTGCTACATTTAATAAACCAATATTAATACATTATCATGAACTAAAAATCTATATTTGCATTCCAACTGCAATTACATAAACAGTCAAAACAAAACTATTTATTTTGCTAGAAACTACAAACTCAAACATGTTGAAAATACATCAGAGTAATTGCCTATGCAGCTATGAGATAGGAAGTAAGAAATGTGTCTAAAAGGGAATAAACAAGTAAATGAAATGAGAGCTGATAGCTGGTTACAAACTGAAAAGTACAATGAACTAATTCAGTTTATAAAAAAAGGAAGAGGTTGAAATGAGGATGATTTTAAGGCAAGGGACTGTCATACTCATTTAGCTGTTATGTCCCGCAGGAAAAGGGAATGACATTTAGTTATGAATTATTAGCATCTTAGTGGGCATGTCCATTTCCTCCATCTTCTCCCTCCACCCCCATGCTGCTTTATCTTTAATTAATTAAGCACAAGACTCTCCTAATCATGTCATGTAAGCTCATTTCACCAACTGTTTGGCTGCCAGTCTCTTGTCTCTCTCTGCAGCAATGGTGAGGTTAATACCCTTTCCACGGGGAAGGGAAATTCATGGTTTGTTGCCTTTGCTGATAACAAAAATGTTGGAGAGCCGGGTAGCAAAGCTATTGCCAATGGCATATTTGATATGAACTAGGCCAAAAGAACCAGGGTGTTTCTCTCGCTGGTGATTACACCAATTCTTCCCAGATCGGCACCTCAGTGATCACACCCAGGTTACTGGTGTCAAACTTGATGAAATTGGTAATTTTGCCAGATTCCAAATCAATCTGAATGGTGGTATTCACCTTGATGAGGGGATCAGGGTAGCGGATGGTGTGAGCACCCTGGGTCACCAGATGAGGAGTTCCCTTTGTGCCCACAAAAATCTTCCTCACTTTGCACTGCTTGTACGTGGCCTCCTCAGGTGTGATACGATAAATAGCAAAATGACCGTTGGGCCGAAACTGGTTTGGCTCAGTGGTAGAGCATCGGTCTGTGGACTGAAAGGTCCCAGGTTCGATTCCAGTCAAGGGCATGTACATTGGTTGCGGGCACATCGCCGATGGGGGTGTGCAAGAGGCAGCTGGTCGATGTTTCTCTCTCATTGACGTTTCTAGCTCTCTATCCCTCTCTACTCCTCTCTGTAAAAAATCAATAAAATATATATATATTTTTAAAATGACCCTTGGTGTCATAGACCAGATGGAAATTCTCTCCTGTCTTATAAATGCTGATGACATCCATAAGACAAGCAGGTTACATCGGTTCAGGCCTTGTCACCAATCTTAATGAACCGCTGCATGCAGATATTCTTTACTTCATCTCCTGTTCGGGCATACTTATGTCTGTTTCTTAGGAAAATGATGAGAGGGAGACATTCTCTCAGCTCTGGGAGTGGGGAGGAGGGAAGGTAGATGGACTAAGAAGCAAATACACTGGCCAGTTTATCCAACAGCCAATGCTTTGGAGCTGCTACACGCTTCAGATGCTTCTTGGGACCATGAGCCATGGCTGCACTAGGCATGAAAAGAGGAATCTCTTCTTGCTGGTAAAAACGAAATGAAGTTTATGAAAAGAAAGTTGTCACCCACTGTGCCTTGGTCTCTGATGCAATGGTGTCTCACACAACGGTGTCTGCCGCCCTCACTGGTTGAGTTTTTATCATTAGAATGTTAAATGCTAATGGAGTGACAAGAGTGCAGATTTTATAACTGCCCTTTCAGTGAAATGATGTTGCTTGGGTCTTATATTTTATGTTGTACTTAATACAATAGCTATTTTTAAAAGGAAATATCTGAAAACATTCAGGTAAATAGACCCTGGTGATGAAATGCTATTAAACACAATAAATGGGTCACTAATATAATAGTTTCCAAATCAAACTTGTAGGAATACAGAAAGAACACAGTAAGAGTTTTGAATTATCCTAATATATGAAAACCCTGGGTCCATCACGACCAGAAGCTCAACCAACTGGAAGTCAGTCCTGCAGTTTGACTGCTGGGGGGGCCACAAATCAGGCCCAGAGAGAGGCCTGAAGAGAGAAACAGGGTCTGATCCATAGCCTATGTGGCAACTGTTGATCAGCACTTGCCTCTCTCTTCCTCTCCAGGCTGGGCCAGCAGCCTCCATTTTTCTTCAGGCCTTTACCGGGGCTGCTGATCAGCCCTGCCTTTCTGATCAGGCCCTGATGATAGGCCCAGAGACACTGACTGGCATAGAAACCGAACAATCAGAGCCAAATTGGTGGGCAAGGAGGGCAGTTGGGGGTGAGATCAAACTGGTAGGGGAGGGCAGTGAGCAGTGATCAGGCAGGCAGAGGCAGGGGCAATCAGGCTGGCAGGGGAAGGCTGTTGGGGGCAAGATCAGACTGGCAGGGGAGGGCAGTGAGGGGTGATCAGGCAGGCAGAGGCAGTAGGGGGAGAGATCAGGCTGGCAGGGGAGAACAGTTGGGGGCGAGATCAGGTCGGCAGGGGAGGGCAGTTAGGAGTGATTAGGCAGGCAAGCAGGTTAGCTGTTAGGAGCCAGTGGTCCCAGATTGTGAGAGGGATCTTATTATATCTCTCTATCACCAATTATGAGATTTGAAGATATGAAAGATTTCATCAAGCACAAAAATCTCCTACTCAACATTCTAAGATATGTGTCGTAAATCATAGGTACTGAGCTTTCTGATAGCTATCCCCAGTGCCAGGGTCAGGGCAAATCACCCTGTCTTCTACTTCTAGGGAAGACTGACCTGAAGGAACCCCAAAGAAGTCAAGTGCACAAAAAGGAAAGGTCTGTAATAGATGACAGAGTGTCATCCCCAAGGAGTCCCCGATTGGAGAAGGTACAGGCTGGGCTTAGGGAACCCCTCTCCATGTACGAATTTCATGCACTGGGCCACTAGTCATATTAGAATAAGGCTAGCCAAGGTTTATTGAGCACTTAATATCAGAAATTGTATTAAGCTCTATATGTATACTAACTCACATAATCATAAGAAACCTATGAGGCAGACACTATTTTTATCTTCATTTTACAAATGAGAAAATTGGGGCCCCAAAAGGTGAAATAACTTGGTCCCACAGCCACTTAAGTGGAGCCAGGGTTTGAACCAAGACACCCTGGCTTTCCTTCTTGACCCCAGTGCTCTCTTTAATGATTGTGGTGGCTCTTGTACTTGACACTCTGTCATCTATTACAGACCTTTTCTTTTCATGCATTTGACTTCTTTGGGGTTCCTTCAGGCCAGTCTTCCCTAGAAGTAGAAGACATGGTGACTTGCTCTGACCCCAGGATTGGGGATAGCTATAGGAAAGCTCAGTACCTATGATTTATGACACATAGCTTGCTGAGTAGGAAGTTTTTGTGCTTGACGAAATCTTTCACATCTTTAAATCTAATGATTGGTGATAGAGAGATATAATAAGATAAGCACTTTGTTTCAAAGGGAGTTGAAGCTGTTTCATATAAATGTAGCCTAAAGAGGACTTATCTACATGATAAAAAAAGATGCATGTAATGGATCCTACTTGAATTCCTGAGAGGAGGTGGTTTAATGTTGATGATGATAGCTTACATTTGTAGAGCACTCTGGGCCAGGCAGTCTTCTCTGCAGAGTGCAGATATTAACTTATTTATAGTGAGCCCAGAGCAATCAGCCCAGCCTTTAATGTGTCAACAATGGGATATGTGAGCCCTGTAGGAATTTTCAGGAAGTGGTAACCAGGAATGGTTAGGGGGAGGGTGGGTGGTGAGATGGGTCCTTGGAGTCTACTTCCTAGTAGTGTGAAGTGTGCAACGTATCCTCTCCCATGCCCGTTCTTCATGTATGTTATGTATTAACCGTTATGCCCACCATAAAGGGGTTTTAGGAGGATTATTTAATGAGCTATTTCATGAGATATTACATAAATATAAGTGCATGCACCAAAGTACACGACACCGCCGGATAAATGGGAGTCGCTTGTGTTATCACTATTATTCTGGTCATAGCCGCTCTGATGATTTTGGGCTAGAGAATGCATCATTTTCTCCGAAACAGGTTTGGCTCGGTGGATAGAGCATCAGTGTGCGGACTGGAAGGTCCCAGTTTCGATTTCGGTCAAGGGCATGTACATTGGTTGTGGGCACATCCCCAGTAGGGGGTGTGCAGGAGGCAGCTGGTCAGTGTTTCTCTCTCATCGATGTTTCTAGCTCTATATCCCTCTCCCTTCCTCTCTGTGAAAAATCAATAATATATATATATATATATATATATATATATATATATATATATATATATATATATATAAAAGAAAGTATCATTTTCTTTCTACTACTAACTGTGGTTTACTGAATGCTTTGAGTGACTCCTTAGGACATTCCCAGCTCATCCGTCAGAATGCAGAGGAGGGACTGTATGGGGAGCGCAGCCCGCTCGGGTACTGCCTTCTTCCCTGCTTTCTGGTGGGAAGGAGTTAAGGAGGGATGGAGCGCAACGGGGACCCGAGGACAGAGATGAGAGAGGCAACAAGAGGAGAAACAATTCCCGGCAAAACAGAGCCTGCGCCGGACGCGCGAGCCCTCTGGGCGGGCGCTCTGCAAGTCTGGGACTTGGATGGAATCATCTTACTTTCCAACACGGACTGCGAGGCGCCCCGGGGGGGCCGGGCTGTGCGCTTGTCCAACTCCCCCATCCTGCTCCCCTCCACACCCCGCGATTGGCCCGCCCGGCCCAGGGCCGTCACCGATTGGCGCTCCCGGCCCGGCGGAGAGATTTAAAGAGGGGGCGGGGGCGCGCTGCCAGCCGCTCTCCGGTCCGCGGTGCGCACGAGTCGCAGTCCCAGCCGTGCGCTCCCTCCCCGGTGCGCGCCGTCGCCATCCATCGGAGCCGGGTTCGCAGTCTCTCGCGGCCTGACACCGCCTCCGGCGTCCCTGCCACTGGCCGTTGAGGGCCTGCGGCTGCCGATCGCAGGAAAAGGGAGGACCAGGGTGGGCGCCGTCCAGCCCGGGGGGCGCGGGCACAGCTGCTAGCGAGGGGCCAAGGCGCGGGGACGCCGGGGTGGCTACGATGGTGGCCACGTGCCTGCAGGTCGTGGGCTTCGTCACGAGCTTCGTGGGCTGGATCGGCATCATCGTGACCACGTCCACCAACGACTGGGTGGTGACCTGCGGCTACACTATCCCCACGTGCCGCAAGCTGGACGAGCTGGGCTCCAAGGGGCTGTGGGCGGACTGCGTCATGGCCACGGGGCTGTACCACTGCAAGCCCCTGGTGGACATCCTCATCCTGCCGGGTAAGGACCCCCCCCCCCCCCCCCAGGCCAGGGGCTGGCCCCAAACCCTCACCTTCTGGGCAGACTGGTGGGGCGGGGGGCGCTTCTAGACAAAACATTTTGGGGGCTTCAAGCCTATGGGGCCTGTGTGGACACCTGGAGTCCCCCACCTTGCTGTAGTGCAGTGTTTCCCAAACTTCTCTCATGGTGAGAATCACCTGGTGGAGTTGTTAAAATACAGATTCCCGAATCCCAACTAAGAAGTGCTAAACTAGAATTTTTGGGAACGTATAGGTAAAATGGTATACTTAGCTAGTGCTCTACGCTTAGTTAGAGCTTTAGTTGCTCCCAGGTGTGGGCAAGTCTACAACTTAAGCTTAGAGCACTGGGAAGTGAATGGCCTGAGACGGAGGGAGACACATAGTGGAAACGCAGCCCATGTGAAGTCTCGCCTCCTCGCCTCCTCG